CCCCAAAACCCCAAAACCCCAAAACCCCAAAACCCCTAAAAGCTTAAAAGGAACAGTAAAAGCCAAGTTAATTGATATATCAATTATTAAAAATCAAATTTCATCTAATTCCTTAAATATCATCTTATGTCTAAATTCAAAATTTATCAGCAAATAGGCAATTAGATAATTGTTTAATGCAATTTCTCTTTTCCACTAAAATACACCTCTCATTATAAATCATTTTTTTAAATTGAAGTCAAAAGTCTCTATATTTGATCTTCCTTTGTTTGAATAATATCATTAAGCCCATAGAGTCTATAAATATCAAGTGAACCCTTAATATTTCCAGTTATTAAAAGAGGTCTATTATTACTAAATTTTATCACACTCTTAGGTGTATTTTTGTAATTTCCTTTAGAATTTCTGTCATAGTAAGTCAGCTAAGGTTGCTGATTATCTTTGAATATATCCCAAATTTCAATTCTACCATCGTTTGCCACTGAAGCAAATACTGAGGATATATTTGGTGACCACATTATATCGTTTACTTAGTCCTTTAATGAAGATTATTAATGACACAACAATTTAGGATTATCATCATTAGCATTCCAAATTCTTACAGTCCAATCATAAGAACAAGTAATAAAAACTGGACATTTAATAGAGTCCCAAAATGGATTGCATCTTAACCTATTGACTGCTCCAGTATGCCCATAATAAACAGCTTGATATTTTTTGGTTAATAATGTAGAGCATCTATAGATAATATTTTCCTCAGTAGCAGCAAAGTAGTTAATTCCGTTTTCACTTTAAGGAAATTCAATACTTAGACCACCTATATTCGGAAAAGCTGGCTGCCGTTTATGTAAAATTTACTTATTAAAATAGGGGTTATTCTCATTTGGATTGATTTCTCCCTTGAATTACATTATTTCCTTGAATGATAGCTAATTATTGTATTCTAAATACCATTCAATTACTCAACCATCTCCTGAGATAGAAACCAAAATCTCTTTTTCACCTCTTTCAATCCATTTGACTTCCCAAACAATATCAAAATGTTTACCTTCGAGGTTATTACTATTAGCTATAGACTTGCTATCAGGACTTAAAATATTGAAAATAGCAATATTGCTTTAAGAATCTCCTATAGCAATAATGTAAGGTGATTTTTTTGAAAACTAACAAGTAGTGATCGAATATTCTGTCTCAATTATTTTCTCAGGCTAACTTGGGTTTTTCAAAGACCAGAAGCACAAATAGCCTTTCTTAAGACTTTAAGTACAATCAATATCAAATTCTCCGTAACCAACTGCTATTAGATCTTGATTAGAAGGATTAATATCAACACATGATATCTATCTATTTTTTGTAAGTTTAGACTTGAACCTAAATAAATGCTACAATCTTACTCAATTTTAAGTTGATTATCCATCTTTCAGAGCATCATTCTTTTCTTTTCTATTTTATACATTCTTTTATAATCTCCTATTCTTGTATTACTTATTTTATTTGGGATTTTCTGTAAGATATGCATATTTTTTCTGATACTTAGACTAAATTAGCAATTTTTCAATTGTTTAAACTGCTTTAATAAGAGTTTCCGGCAAATCAATCTCTTCTATAGACATTTACTTGACTTTGCCAAAATATTATCCGCTTTCAGAATAAGAAATGCCATAATTTTCATCACCATATCCCTCATAATAATAACTAGATCCATCTGTGTAGCTGTAACTAATTGATGAAGTTTAATCCTGCAAACTTGATAGTGATTCTGATGAGGAAGATTATATTTCACTATAAATAGAATCAGTTGAACTACTATCTGGCTCTTCTTATAAAGAAGGATTAAATTGAGTTAATGCCTTTTCACGTATAAAGTGAGAGACTTTATTTTTGTTTTAATACTGAATAATATCTTCTATACTCTAATAATAATCAAGCTATTATTGTTTCGCCTCAGATATTGGTGTTTCTTAATCGTAAATATCCCAACTATTTGCTTGTATGTTTTTATCTTCTTAAGAGAGTTTAATCTCAAATATTTATTTTGTTTTTTGAATTTGTGTATAAGTTTAAGAACTTTTCCCGCAATAGCAGTCTTGACTTGCTTTTTCGAATAATAGTTTTTCATATTATTAATTCTCTCAAATTACATTATTATAGTCTTCAGTATCATTTCCTACCAAAGTTGATGGAATAAATAATAAATCAATTGTCTCTGTTTCGCTTAAAAGAATGTGTTCTAGTGTATTTAAGTCAAAATTTATATTGTATTTATACATTTTAAAATATTTTTATTGATAAATTAATTACCATATGACTATATTTGTCTGTAGGGGTTTTGGGGTTTTGGGGTTTTGGGG